GACTTGGACATGAATTGGGCATGTAGCTAGACCAAGGAACTTGAAAACTCCCTCAGATCTTGATGCGTGAACATAGCCAAGATGACCAGCATTTCTTTGCAGAGATTTGTAAGATTGTCACCGACACTACAGGCTGTGTGTGTCCACTGCATCTTTTCAGCATGCCTCTCCTAGGCTTGTAACATTAACATTCCTTTCAATCAGGGACACAGAGAGGAGCTAATGACTCATAGCTCCTACAGGTATGGAGTAGTTAAAGAACTGAGTGCCATGCCACCTCTTGTAATTATGTTGATAGGTTTGACAGGCCTAGAAACTTTAATAATGTCTTAAAAGCAGACTTCCTGAAGTAAACAAGAAGCTGTTAACTAAACGGAAATGGAAGAGCAAAATGTAATTGCTTATTGCTGTGCCCTTTATTTCCTCCTCTGTAAGGCAGCAGTTCCTCCATATATACCTTAGTTCCACAAAGCAGTGAGACCTGCTTTGTTCTGCAAGTTCTGATTACCCAAAATTATGTTCACTGTCTTATCCTGATTTTCTGGTGATTATGAACCAACAGTCTTATGTTGTGCACAGCTGGGGATATTCCCAAGGACAACACACAATTCTGATTGTCTTAGTGAAAAAAAAAAAAGTAGTAAAAATCTGTAATGATTCTCCACAAAGCAGTTGACAACAAGGACCATTAGGCTGGATACCAGAAAAGCTCATCTTTTATGGGATTCACTCTTTAACATATGGAAGCATGTGCTAGATCATTCTCCATTCTCTGAAGAATATCAGAGGAACTTCATTGTGTCAGGTATCTAAACAATTTCCTTCTTTTCTATGCAAGTGAAGCTTCAGAAGATTCACCATACACCCAAAGCAGTTTTTTTTAACAGGAAAGAAAGGTGGGTTTTTTAATTCATTGAATTGATTGCCATAGTTTCAAATAAATATTGCCAACTAACTTGGGCTGTAGAAATTAGAATGACCAAAAGTGTCTAAGGAAATAAGAAATACACTTGTGTATATTGTTCACCAAACTTGTGTCCATTTATTGGAAGAGGAAAACGTATCTTTTCAAAGAAGAAACTAGATAAAAAAGAATATAGCATTTGTCCCCTTAACATTTGCTTTCCTTTTTCATGGTAGTAATAGTCCTCAGGAAACATGAGCAAGGATGAATGAATGTCCATGAAATTCAACTTGTATGAAGTAAAAAAATCCAAACCTCTTTTTTTGATTAGTCTACAAAATAAATTCCTGTGATAAGACTAGACTGTTCTAAGTAAAATTTAACCCCTTCTGGGCTACCACTTCTGTAAGTTTCCTGTAATTTGTCCATTCAGTTTTTCTGATGTTCTCTGTCCTCAACATTGTTTTGTAATAGGAGTGGCATGGTAGACCTTTCTAGGCATTAAAATTCAAATGAACATAGCAACCATCCCATTTTGCTTCGCAACTGTTGAATCCAGAGGTTTTGAGACTGGAAAAACATTAATTGAGATGAGCTGTGTCTAAGTGTAGCCACTTATGTAGCTGTGGCCAGGCTCTCCGTTGGCTTCTCCTGACATAAGACAGCACACAGGAACCTGAGTGGCAGAAGTTCTGCTAGAGAGGTGTTGCCAGATAAAAGGTGGCAAAAACCAACTTCACTGGGGAATCATGGGAGAGAAAAAGCTGTCGAAGAATAAGCCAGTGCTGGGTGGCATTAAATGTGACCCATGGAAAAAGCAGATGCTCTATTTTGGGATTTGTGCAGTGTTGTCCCCTAAAGAAACTTTAAAAAATGTCCCTTGCCAGTCTACCTCTTGAAGAAAGGGAGTACTAGAAACCACATTTGACTTCCTCTTGAAGTCAATACTTTTCTTTGTGTGTGGTAAGCAGCTGGGGCATATCTTCAGAAGCTGTAAAGAATTTCCTTTTATAGCTGGGAAGTTGGGCAGAGTAGACTATATAAAGGATTTTTTTTTTCTTCCAGTCCTAGCCATAGATATAGCCTTGTGGTTGTGGAGTACAGAGTTTCAACATAAAGTAACTCAATTATTTCTATCTTCATTTCCACCCACAGCTCCCAACAAATAGTCAGCTTTGACCTTGAATCTGAACCAGGAGTTCCACCTCAACCAAAAGGTATTCTTTATATTTGGAGTCTCTAGTGAAATACAGAACGATGGAAGAAAAACCTCACAGCTATTTCCTGTACGAGTTAAAGGCAAACATTACCATTGATTATACTTTATATAAAGGAAGCAGAGTATGAGAATAGAAGGCTTAAAATACAATTTAAATTGGCATTCTCTTCACAATAGAAGAAAAAAGTTCACCAGACTTTTACATCTGTGAATGATAGAGCATTCTTAAAAAGTCCCATGAAATGGAGCAACATTTTTAACTTCCAATGATATGCTGCATTCTGTAGTACATTTGATATAAGGATGATCACAAGTCATTTTAACAATGTTACTGGATTTACTTTTCTATAGTTCTATATTTTAGATTAAACACTAACAAATAAAAGGGAGAAGGCTAAAACAGATTAAATCACCACCTTGTGAATCAGAAGTAGTCAGGTAGAGGACACACGTTATTTAGCATCCAAGGGCCATGTATCAACTTCATTCCTGTTGAATGTTGCAGTTGTAGTCTGTTGATTACAATAGTGCAAGACTTTCCTAAAACAGGGTGGTCCCTCGTTAGTAAAACCTTCCATGGTGTTTCACACAAAACAAGGTAGACCTTTATGGTGTCAACAACTACATTAATCTAAAGTGAAAACTCAGAATGTAAGGAAACAACAAAGAAAACTAGATGGAAATTCTTTACTGACAGCAGAAAAAACTAAAGATTGCAAGGGTAAAGATCTCCTTTAGAACTTCAGAAACCCATCCTCTTATTTTAAAGTAAGGATGATCTAGTTTAGGGAATGCAGAGATTTCTATCAGATTGTGCAACCTTAGAACAACTGAGATGACTGAAAACAAAGAGAGTTCTTGCTGGTGACTAGCATTTCACAAGTCCTCTTACCTTGAGAGACGCAAAGAATACTCATAAAAGTAAGTCTGATTGCTTGTCAGTAACAGTCACTCTTGTCTTAAGCAAGTGTGATAGGTCTCTGAACAAGAAGCAAACATTTTCCTAGGAGAGGAATGACTGGGAAAATGCCTAAAATACATGCACAGTAAAAAAAAAAAATAAATGCTGTGCTGTTCTAAGGATGCAGTATATTGTCTCATTGTTTTCTGTTGCAGCAACAAGAGGGGGAGGTAAAAAGTCTTCCTTTACATTCCTTCCAATCATGAAGGGACAGTATTTGTAAGACACTCAAATAGCACCTTAAGTGTAACACTGCTAATAAATGTAACAGATTTTGGTGTTCCAATACACACAGAAAGAGTTGGTAGAAAAATATAAATTCCTTTATGAAAGATTCCAGTATTTTTAATATTGTGTTTAGCACCAGAATACTAAGTTAAACAGCAATCTAGAGTAAATGTAAAGTATAGCTAAAGTGTTAAATACAGAAAAGAAAGGTTCTTTAGTGAATTACTTTGCATACATGAAACTAAGGGTCCCAGTTTCAAAGGTAAACTCTAACAGAAAGTGCCAAGAAGATACTAAAAATGTCTGCAGCTTGTATGCCAAGGAAATCAGGATTTTATGTAAACTAAAGGTGCAAGAATCTGGATTTCCCTAATTCTATTTTTGTTGCAAGCAAGGACAAAAATATTGAAAGCAGTAACTCCACTAATAGAAATTAATAGGAATGGGGGGGATAATATCAGAAAAACAAAAGTGATAGCTTAGAAGGCAAGAATTATTAGGATGAAATGAGGATTATAAAAGTAAAAAAAAAAAAAAAAAAAAGAAAAGCTAGACCTCACAAAGAATATAAAAATAAATAGAAAAAAAGCCCTCAGTTAATTTCTTGTCTTTATAGCCTAACCACCCCATATTTCCTGTTCTTAGTTATATTCTTGTTTGGAAAGGTAACTGAGGCCCTGAAGGAGAGCTAACTGCAGACAAGAACTTCAGACAAGTATGTATTATTGTTAAAAGTAAACGCTATCTTCAGAGGCTCTAAAGGCACAAATTCTGGCATGTTTTGAATAAGTATATTAATGAATGAATTCGGAATGAATATATTCCTAGCTAAAAGTTTCATTAACTTTATGTTATCTGAGTAGCAAATAGCTGAAAATTTGAAACAGATTTCTATTACTTGCAAGTTGTGTATTTCTTGATCTTGACACCACTTGTAAGAAGGTACCAAGGTAAAAGAGTTACTTATCTAAGTACTCCAGCTTTGCACAATCTAGAATACAACAAAGGAAAAATAATGTGATGTTCAGTTCCAAAGTGTAGGTCTTGCTCCAAAAAGTTATTTGAGTACTAATATATCCACACTATTGCAGACGTAATTTTTTCTGTTGTCTGTACTGGTGTTAATCTTTTTTATCTCACCGTGCATGAATTTTCCTTCACCTGAATGTAACTCATGAAGCATGTGGATACTTGGATGTGGTAATTTTCTTCTTGCTGCCTTCCAGCTTTTCTTTTTTTCAAACCAGATGTTGAAGCTCAGTGTGTTTTTAATATGATACAATGAGTACTTAAACCGTTTGTGAGGAGTTTGACATAACAGGTACATGCAGTTCTGCCTGAGTATCTTGGGTCTACTATGTGCTTTCATTCACTTAGTTTCAGTGTCAGGTCAGCAGAAAGCAGTAAAATAGCAGGTGGAATAGCAGCAGCTGGAGAGAGGTTATAAACAACAACATATCTGAAGAGCAAAATTTGTCAGAAAATCAGAGAGGCTGAACACAAGCACATCTCTATCCTTTACTGAGACTTCATGGTCACTGAGTCACTGAAGACTTGGGCATCTCCAAGAGAGAGGATACTAGGCATACTCGGCAGCCTGTTTTGATCATTTCTAAGCTGCTTACTGCATACTCCAACAGATTATATGGAAACATTTGGCACTTGAATGAAAGAAAGGGCTGACTTACTGAAGTAAAAGCCTCTGTCTCCACACACGAACTGAAGAGCATCAACCAGCTCAGCACCACAGAGTGTTTCTGGGCCAGCAGCAGCAGAACTGGTTAAGGTAAGCAAACACAGGCCAAGGTAGAAGAAATGAATGTAGGACACAGTGTGCATCTTCACCTGCCAAGGAAGCAAAAACAGTGTCAGCATTTCCCAACAGAGTCCTAAAGAAAATGACCCCTGCACCCTTGCAAGTTGAGAACGCATGTGTACTGTACTTTGTTAGACAATAAACACAGTATCAGGAAATGCCTCACCATAATTTTGCAACTGTCTACATATTCTAGTCCATATATTTTGTAAACTGATTACTTCCTCTGGTGAATATCCTTGGTTCACATTCACAAGTAGAGAACCTTGTGGTAACTATGATTTATGGTTGCTCCTGCAAAAGGAGGGTATGGAAGAGTGCATTAGACAGGCAAAGGGAAGCCCAGAATAACTAGAGTAAGGAAGATCAGACAACCTTGTTTTGTCTGAGACCAGATAGGCTAAGAGGGAATATGACAGTTGCCTGCCAGCGTACTGTGGGAGATGGAGCTGGCATATGACAGAGAAGAGCTATTTAAATTCAGGAACGGCACTGGCACAAGAATAAACGGCTGTAAACCGGACAGAAGGAAGTTTGGCCCAGTAGGAAAAGGGTCCATAATTAGTACTTCACGGTTCTCCAGCCACCTTAAAAAGGGAAATACCAGGACAAAACAAAAGAAATTTCAAGGTAGAACTTGCCAAAGTTACAGAAGAGTTAATGTGGGACCTTCTGTAGCAGGGGACAACATTCAATGACTTACAGTCCTCTGTTACTAGCAAGTTAACATTTGGAAGCATTCAAGAAATTAAGAGGAGCACTAGTGGGAGTGTTAAGGAGTTAAACTTGATGGAAGCAGCTATACCGTCTCTGACCCACATTGTATCCTCTTAGTCAGGTTTGGCTATGAGGTATACACAGAGGCGATAATTCTTTTCTCATTTACCTTTGGTCACAACCTATCTTTTTCCTGGACTTATGATTGAAGAAAGGCCAGTCCTCAATGGGTGTAAATTTACACCATTCATTTTGTCCACTTCCTTTTATATGAATTTATATTAACCAAAGCTCTTACTCAACATGTCAAAGAAGATAACATTTTTTTTAAATACTAGGAAAAGCTATTTATATTTAGTAACAGGACAGTGAAGTGTGTGCTTAATGTGTATTCTGAACTGATTTAGGTCACTTGCCAAAAAAGCTAGTTTCAAAAGGTGTAAATCTGCATTTGATTTTATTCTCTTTCAAGGTTAATGTTAGTATTGCAGTCAGGTAAGAAGTTACAAATCTTTCTTGCACATACAGTTAACCTTGGTTTAAAACTGCTTTATATTAGCAGAATAGTACAAAGTAATTGGGCTAAAATGATCAACCTTCCATAAAGTTTCTTTTAGAGTTTCAGGGACCATTCTATCTTATTTTTTCACTGAGCTTTTGAAAAAACAATGAAATTATCTGTTGTCTGCTCATATGGGATCTCATCCAGTGGGGTACTGAGCCTTCTTTAGTCAATAATTTTTAAGAATTCTTATTTTCTTGGCAAGGGATCTTAGCACCTTGCTGGATGAATCCCTTATTTCAACTTAAGTCAAAGCTGAAAAAGACACAAATCTATAAATAAGTCAGTATTTATCCCCCTTTTTTTCCTGGTATTTCCACTGTGAAAACAATGAACAAATCTAAATCCCATGATATATCATAAAAAGAAAGAATAATTATTTTCCCATTCACAAGAGTATGGAGCCAACCTTGCTATGCAAAAACCAACAAGCTTTAATGTACGGACATGACCTCAGTGGCAGATGGAGGAAGATCAGACTATAAATTAATGATGATAACACAAGGTATTTTTCCTGTAATGATTCCGTATCTTAACAACATCAATTTCCTTTTTGCTTTGCCACAATTTTGCATTTCTAAGGTAAATGTGATGCACCTGCAGTTTAAGATGGTTCCCAGTTCTGAGGAGGTAAAGCAGAGAGTTGTTTAGCACACTGCCTCAGAAGGATGACATTACAAATACAAGAACATTATGTATTTAACAATTTGTTCTTGTATGACATTTGGGCCAGAAATAAGCATAAATCTTAGCCATTTAACAATTTTGTATTTTTCAAGACTTTTCAGCTGGATTGCATTTTCAGATAAATATCAGCACTGAACTACAACAAAACAGATTATCTACTGTTTTTCCTCTAGTGGAAGCCAAAAAGGCTGCACAGTATAAACCACAGAGAATTTCTAACTTTATCTCCAAATTCAAAAAAAGTCAAGAACTTTCAAACAAGTAAAAACTTTTGGGAAAAGAAAACAGACTCACATGTTTCTAGGGCTCAATCAATTATTTGTTAAATTAAGTGCTCTTTCATCAAAACTAACTCCAGAATGTAATTTTAAACTTGAACTTTACTTCATCATTTTAATTAAGCATAACATTAGTTGAGTCAATATGTTCATGATAAAATCAAAGTTCCCGTTTGGGTCTGAGGGGAATATCCTTAAGAAAATACAAAGTTGTAATCCAATATTGCTTCAGGTTCTTTACAAACAGGCAGGGTGCTTGCAATGTCCCCAATTTGACTAGAAAGTTGAGAGTTTGAAAGAAAACGCATTGGCATGTGGGTGGGGTTTATTGAAGCATCTAATTACATTTGGAAATTGAATACAGGTTCAGGATGAGCCTGGTTAAGCACTTCTTTTAGTTGCATAGAATGACTGACCATATTTTCACAGCTGGAATTTCCTCTTTTTTCAGTAAAATAACCAGCTTTTGCTGCATTCCTCTTTTAATGGTCCAGAAGAGTGGCACCACAGAGGAATGTCGTATATGAACACTCTACATCTCTTTACTTCTTAATTCTTCTATGTAAGTCCTCTTCGTCTAATAAACTACCAGTTGGCACAAGTTGTACGTAAGAATTCTTCACATGCTTGGTCATTTTAATAACTTATAGGAACATCTACAATAATTATAAATATCTTGAAGGGGGCAACATTTTTATGGATAGTATATGCTATAGAAAAAAAAAATCAAGAGTTATATTCAAAATTACATTTTGCTATATAGAGGTTAGACCTGATTTCCAAGCCACAGGAGAAGTATGTAATAACAGTATTCACGAGCAATTATTATATAAATAAAGCATATGTACCCTAGAAGGGATCAAGGTTTAAATACTGCTAACTTTGATTAAAGAATCTGGGCTACATACTATCCTAAATCAATATGTTCCATTGATTCCAAGGAAGCTTGGCAGAAAGCACCAGCTGAGGAACTAGCACATTACTTTTATGCCTCTTAGTGCCTTGCTCAATACTTAAAAAAATCATCTTCATCTTTCAGGTATGTTGGAAGGGATACCCATTTATACATATAATGGTAAATATAATGGTTTCATTTATTGCAATTACAAAACTGCATTTTTGAATCACATTAAGGAATGAGATAAGTGGGTTTTAAGTGTAAGACACTGTAAAAAAATAATTAGGCCCTAAACAATTAAAACAGAAAAATTCTGTCAACTGCACAAGTGTCCTTGCAAAATGTTAAAGAAAAAAAAAGTTCTTGAAGGGTATAAATTTGCTGATAATGGAAAGTTGAACTAGGGCCAACTGACAGAAATAGAGGTCAATGCACCTACTGAAGCCAAATTTGCTTAGAGAGAGTTTGTATTAATGTGTAGAAATTACAGGGTCATAACATGAAACTTCACATGCAAACTTTCCTGCAACAGCCCTCCCTACAAGGGAAAACTTAGAGATGAACATGTAGGAGAATTTCCATTTTCTTTATGCACAATTGCTTAAGCTATACAAATATGCAAGGTCAGCAAGAGTCACAGCTGGTTTCTAATGTAAAAAACAAACTGAACTTCACATTTACTTTTAATTTATGAAAGCAAAAACCAAGTAAATGTTACAATGCTGCCAGAAAATTGCTGCAGTGACAACATCTCTTAAAAGTTTCCCTGTGAAAGCATGAACATTTTATCTATAATTGTGTATAATAAAACTGCAGAAACTTAACATGTGAATAATACCTTTTTTCCTATAAAATCTTGCACCTGCAGAAAATAGCTAAAAGTTCTTGTTTTCAGAAGCATTAACAATAGAGACAATGATGTAATTGGACACTTTAATAATGACATAACTGAAATATTGCAAAGTTCTCTGAATAGAAGTGAAATTTAAGACATCTATCTGCAATAGTTTACCCTTACAGTTATCTATGTAATTGCAACTATTACATACAGCCATTTTCCAGATCATATAAAATTGCATGTTCAGCAATTTATAAATAATTCTCAGTTCTATAATAATGTTATTGAAAAGTGCACAATACTCTTCAAACCAGAAGCAGACAATACACAATAAAATAAAACTAAAAAAAAATTATTTGAAATAGTAATAAAGATTTACCTTCAAGAAATCACAAAAGCAGCACTTAACTAATTGTGTTGAAAGACTGTTGATTTTTTCCATTGCTTCTTAAAAGTGCAAAGTCTGGAAATGAATTTGTTAGCAGTAATGATGAGAAAAAAGAAATCCAGAGAGATGTGAGATGTTGAGAGCAATGTCACATTTCAATATTGAGGACTTTATTCCATTGCGCAGGCTCTATCTGCTCTGATTTTAGCAGTGACAGTGAGATTTAGCAAACAGAAGAGGGATTTAGAGAAAATCCTCACATTTATCTACATTACACAGACACTGTAGACAGGAAACAGCTGGGGGAGCATTTGCCTTCTCTCTCTCTCCCTCTTCTGGCAAAGTTACCGAGTAAGGACTTTTTTGGGCATGGTGACAAATAACATCATACCTTTGCATTTTAAAACTAGAGCACAGAAGCATATTTTTTTCCCTTTAAAAGAATGTGAATTAGTGACTGAGGGGTTAGCAGACAAAAAAGCCTGTGCTGCCATGAAAAATAAGAAAACGTATTCTGGTTAACTTTCAGATAGCTATGTGTGCATTTGTATTTTTGTGTGTGTGTGTGTGCGTCTGCATTTCAAATATATAAAAACTTACACATGTAAGGGCAGTGTTTGTGTATATATATGCATACCTTTAGACATATGTACACATTTTATTTATGCATAGAGGCACAGGTATTTTATTTATATGGTATAGAAAGACAGGCACTTGGTTATCTACTTTTTTCTTAATGCATCTTTACGTTATTAAACTTGGCACGCCTATATGCTGAGTAACAATTAAAGCCTCCAGCTCCCTGTGCTATTAACCCTAAAATAGCAGTTTGTCATTTGCTAAAAATAACAGAATTGTGGAGCACTACTTGTAAATAGGGGAAACTAGCTTTGTGATCTTTTAGCAACCACAGAGGAGAAGTCGTATCGTTTCCTAGAATTTACAGTACTATGAATATAGTAACACAAGTAGACCAGTTTGGGGGGCTTCCATGACATTTATCTTGAACGGGCTGTTGCAATTATAAAGTGATTTTCTCCCTTTTCTGTAGTAATCTTCATAATTACTCTTGGTAACAATTTAAATGACACTGGGAAAGAAAGAATTCAACTTTGTTAGTTCTGCAATACCTAACTTTTGCCTTTTTATTTTTCCTCAATTATGAGTATATTATAAATAACACCAGCTGGCCAGCAACATGCTCTCACGGGTTATGATGTCATTCAAATCCCTCAACTGTGCTAGTGGCTTGCAATGTGCTCCAAGCCAGCTGTTTTTCTATTTATAATGTATGCTTGCATTTCAATACTCAGCTATGGAGAATAAAGTTGTGATGCTGTTTTATAGATACAACTTGTACTTGCTACCCTTTGGGTTTGGAAGATGGCATTTAGAAGTAGAGGATTAAACAAGACTGCAGCTCCAGAGGCCAAACACATGTCACAAACAATGCATGATTTCCATAAAAGCTGTTTCAGAACATTGCATTTTGTTCCTGTCCTCTTCCACTCAAGTGAGAGTTGCATGCTGAGGTGCTAGCTGTACTTTATTATTGAAAATAACAATTGAGATCATGTTGGCCCAGGTCCATTTTCAGTTTTCTGATCCACCTTGAACTCTATGGTGCTTGCCAGGCAGAAAGGACACATTTAGTTATTTGTATCCTCTGTGAATGGCTAATACTCTGTTCCGTGCAGTTTTAAACGGTGTATGGTTAGCTAAGCTGATTAATCTTTGGAAGGGATTTTTTCTAATGTAGTGTAATGGCAGAATCACAGGGGGCTTTGAGGTAAGTTTGTTTGGTTCAGGTAAAGCCAATAGTTCGAGTATTCTAATACACATTTGTACTGCAGGTACCGTATTTCAATATTCTGGTCTGTTTTATGCTTCCCTCTGCATTTCAGGAGTCATCGCATAGCGGCACCATTCTATACATAGCTTGATGTAGCCTACTGCAACTCATAGCACATGCACCAATTATTTCACCAGCCTAATAGAAGAATGTGGGAAGACACAAGCTCTGACTTTTACAGTACTACAGATGGGTGGACATACTTCTGCCTTTTTCTTCCTAAATAACAGAAGGAATCCACTCATTCATCAGTTCCCCATTGCCTGAGCTTCAAACCCTTGTTTCACTCCTCACTGCTTGTCTTCTCCCAGGTTTCGCCAGACCTCTTTTGGTCACGAGAGCAGCATGCAGTAGAAGACGCAGGTTCAGCTTTCAGGGTAGCCAGAGCATCATCGTGTGGTGTCTCTACACAACTTCTAATCCTGTTTCTTTCCATGGAGCCATTCTAAACTCCTGTCCTCATTCCACCCAACCAGCCTAAGTTGCTGAAGCACTTCACTTCTTTCTTTTAGTTTTTATTTTAAAGTGGTGGTGTGAAAAGGCAGGAAAACAGAATAGATTCAAAAGAGGTTTTTGACAGTAATTACTGTTAGCGCAGTGCTTTTCCTCACTAACAAGTAATTCCATTTTTTTCTAGAAAAGCAAACATTCCTCAGGATGTATTGATCTGGGGATGACTACTTTCCTAAAATATAGTTTCTCTTCTGGTGTTAATATTCTAGTCACTATAGCAGTCTGTTAACTTTATAAACCATTTAGAATAAAGTACTGTATGATTACTACTTTATGATGAGTGCTTATGCAGTTACATACATTCCCTTAAATAAAATGCACCTGTAAACCACAGAGTGTGTGGTAGTCATCAAAATACTCACAAAAGTTGTCCAGGTCAAAAAAAATTATGTGATTGGAATGTTCATAGCTATACATTAAAAGGCAATAGCATATATATCTTTGTTTGGCTTCTTAAGTATAACCTGCAGTGATATAATAGCCACAAAGATATATGAAATGTGTGAGATAGATAATCAGATATTTAGGAATTTATGTGTTCTGGTCCTCAGCTTTTGCACTTTAATATTCCTATGATATCAATTACATGCTGTAATGCTGTAGAGCTCATGTGTCAGTTTTTCAGGGAAGAACTCAATTTTATAGAGGACAGTTAGCAAAACCACAACTAATCGATTATCCTAATTAATATATTACCCCTCCTTAAATTCTTCCTTAAAGGGCGGGAATGTTGCCACAATGCCTGAAAAAATCTGAACTGTAGTAAGGCAACCAGTATGCCATCCTCCTGCACTTTCTTCTATATTGGATCACTGTTACCTATATGCAGTTATTTGTTATCTGTAACTGTTGCTTCTTTCCTTACACTGGGATTATAAATTTTCTGGAACCAAGGTAGAACCACTATAATAGATATCACCTGAGAGGGTGATAGGGCTGAGAGCATGGTGGAAGACAGGATGGAAGGAGGAAATAAGCACAGTGGCTGTTGAACAGCTGTTCTTCATTATATGAAAACAGAAGAGACAAGATTGCCTTTTATTCTATTGTTTTAGGGACATTCATCTTGCAGAAAACATAGATGAATGCAGTAAAATTCACGCGGTGTGAACAGATGATTGAGCTATATTGAATGCCATGGGTAACCTGTCCCCTGTCCTCTCCACCCCTCACCAAAAAGCAGAAGAGCCTTTTGAAGGAATGTCTTACCAGTTTTCCCTTAACTTACTGACTGGTTACTGAATTCAGCTTGCTGGGCCAATGGGAACTGTATTCTGTCTTTTTTTTTTTTTTTGAGGTCCCCATCATGATATTAGACATTAAAGACATTATTAATTTGTTTAAATCTAGGCATCTAGTGTCATTTCTAGTGCTGCAGGATATCCTGTATGCCCCCAGGTCCCACTACAGAGTGATACTTATTTCCCATAAGTCTCTGTGTCCTATCTGCTGACCTCATATAGATTTCTTGCATACTTTAGGGCATCTCAAATGGCCTTCAGCACCTGCAGGTAACTGAACCCTACCATAAGGCCTTCTTTTGGCATGCTGATCCGGGATTCTTGTAAGTACAGCCTTTGGCCTGAATATTACCTTTGGCTTCTTCATAAATAGAGATACTCTGTCTTCTGTCATTTACTATTTTTGTGATCCATTTGTGAAGAGATTTTGAAGTGGAGAACACAACAATTTTCATTTCATTTCAGCATGCTCTGAGTGTATATTTTCCTTTTTCTCCTTTGCTTAGTCTTCAGCTTAAGCTCTTTTGGTTTGGAGCTGTCTCTTTTTATTTTCTTCATAAATCATTTTGCCTACTTTTGGATAAGATAAAGTGTTATTTACAATGTTAGCATTATTTCCTGAAACACAGAAATTATTGTTTAGCGCTTATAGTCTCTAGAGAATTATTTGTAAGATATAATGTGTTTACTATTGGAGAAGTTTGGCTTTCTTTTCCAGGAAACAACTTTGGAGAAAAGGGTGAAAGGGAGTATTTTGCTATTATGGAATGTTGTGTTGAAGTTAGTAAGTAAAGTATATGGTGGAAAGTTCCTTTCATCATGTTAAAAGTTAGGAAATCAAGAAAGAAATTATTTTACTAATTCATTTGAGCTAATGAACTGTTTAAAAAAACCCTCCAAACACATTTTCTCGTGGTAGCCTACGTAGCATCATCACTACATAAAAAAACAAGTAGCAAATTTGATGGGGAGGATGAGGGCATGCAATTTGAGCTGTCGTTACACTGGTGGTAGTGAAGAGACACCAAGGAGAAAGCAGTGCCATGAAAAGTAGTTGCTCACTTTGGCAAAACAGGGAAAATGCAAATTTCGTGATTAAATGAGGATCAAGTAAATCGAAACCTCTCATATGCGCTGCTCAAGAAAAACATGAGTGTTTCAAGAGCAGGATGGATGTGTGAGAACCTCAGTCCGGAATTGCTGCTTACAGGTAGTAGTGATAGAAACAATTGTTGCTAATAACAGGTCAGAATTAGTCCACGGACTTGCAAACTTAAAGAACCCAGCACTTCACATTAAGTGGAGTAAGAATAATAGCTTTGCCAAAGTCACAAAGAGGCAAGGACTTTATTGCTTGCAACTAGGATGCAGAGAAAGTGTGTGGTTAGAATGCTGTGATGAAAAAAATGAAGTCCCGTGTCATCTTAAATTATGGTACAAGTTAAAGTAGCTACTGTTTTGAATATCCCTGTATCAGTATGTTTGTTTCCCCAGGTTTTAGAAACAATTGCTAGTAAAAATAACACAAAGCCAAATATTGGTCTTATTTTCCTTCTCAAATGAATATACTTCAACTATTGGATATATTGTTTTCACTATTTAAATACTTTTAAAAAATAATTTATTATGGAAATCACTTATTATTAAGTGGCATGAGATGACGTGTAGTTATGACTGGTAAAAAGAACCCAAAG